CGGCAAGATCAACGTAGACGATAGGAACCAGAAATACAACAAGATGATGCGCGAATTGCAGGCGGCAGACTCAACAATTAAGTTGTTGGAGGCGTCCGAGCGTACATAAGACAGTCGCATCGCCAGCTCGGAAGAGCAGGTCAAGAAAGCAGTTGATGATTTGAAAGCCTGCGGCGAGTCCAAATTACACGTGGCAGCGCCGCGGGATAAGTACAGAGGGCGACATGATAAGATGGGCGTTCTTCTTTTGGGCGTTTATCTGTTGTGTTTTGGGGTTGTTGTCTTGGCTTTTGGTGTTGTTCTTTTTTAGTTTCGAAGCGTGCCCCACACGCAGTGTAGCAACAGTACACGCCTAGGCATGGCAAGCGGCATTGAGCGGACGCCCGCTGCAACAGGAAGAGCTTCAACGCAGCCAACAAGGAAATCACCTCAAGCTGGACTTGGATACAAATGAGGATCTGCACAAGAAATCTGCGAACAGGCACGATCGTCTCATGCAGACTTTCGCCGGTCGGGTTCTCGTAGAGTGGATCATGTTTCAAGTTTCTCTTAGAGAGGATTCCTACGGAGGTTCTCTTAGTGAGGACTCTTGAATAATATTCCCGCAGTAAGGCTTCTTGACTGAGGTTCTCTTAGTGAGGACTCTTGAGTAATATTCCCGCAGTACGGATTCTTCTACTGAAGTCCTTTTAGTGAGGACTCTTGAATAAGAGTCCCGTAGGAAGGATTCTTCATTGAGGCTCTCGTAGTACAGATTTTGGATTAATGCTCCCATCGTAAGTACTATTTATGGAGGCTTCCTGTGTAAGGTCCCTGGAGTGCTATTCCCGTAGTGCGACTCTTGAGTACGAGTCCCCGAGTAAGGATTCTTCATGAAGGAGTACGGATTCTTCTTTCCGGTTTTCGTATTTCGAACTCTTGAGCGAGACTCCCTTAGTAAGGATTGTGTACTCGGGTTGTATGAGTAAGGACTCCGGAGTAACATTACCGTGGTGAGGCTTCTGGACTAAATTTCTCTTAGTAAGTGTTCTTGGGTAAGAACCCCGTTGGAAAAAAGGATCCTTCGTTCAGGTTTTCTTAGGAAGGACTCTGGGGTAAGAGTCCCGTTGTGAGGTTTCTGCGTTCAGGTACTCCTAGTAAGGACTTTCGAGTAAGACTCCCATCGTCAGGAGTATGGGCTCTTGAGCAATATTCCCGCAGTAGGGTTTCTTTCTGAGGTTCTCTTAGTGAGGACTCTTGAATAAGAGTCCTGTAGCAAGGTCTTCTTTTTAAAAATGAAGATGTAAATGGTCTATTTGGAAAGGTTTTTGGGTAATACTCCCATCGTTAGGATTATCCAGTCAAGCTCTTTCAGTCAGAACTCTTGAGTCATATTCTAATCGTACGGATTCTTTATTGCGGTAATCTTAGTAAGAACTCTTGAGGAATATCCCCACCGTCAGGATTCTGCGTGCATGTGCTCTTGATAAACAACTCGTAATATCCCCATGTTGCAGGATTCTTCGTTCTGGATTTGCTTAGTACAAACTTCTGGGTCGTATTATCATCGTAATGTTTCTTCATTTAGGTTCTCTGAGTAAGGGCTCTTATGTAATATTCCCGTAACAAGACTTGTTTTTGAAGGTTCTGTTTGTAAGGATTCGTTGGCTTCTTTGGTAAGGTGTTACGTATAAGGATTCTTGAGTAAAAATCCCGTAGTGAGGATTATTCACTCAGGTCCTTTTGGTAAGGTTGAGTAATATTCCCATGGTAAGAATTCTTTACTAAGCTTCCCTTAGTGAGGACTCTTGAGTTGTTCCCATGAGGAGAATTCCTTAGTAAGTTTCCCTTAGTGAGGACTCTTGAGTTATATTCCCGTAGTAAAATGTCTTTACTCAGGTGCTCTGAGTAAGGGATCTTGTGTAAGAGTCCCGCAGTAAAAGTTCGTCATTTATGCGTTTGTAGTAAGGACTCTTGAGTAAGACTCCCATCGTCTGGATTCATTATTCGGGTTCTGTGAGGTGAGTAAGGTCTCTTGAGTAACATTCCCGCAGTTACGCGTCTGTAATCCGATTCCCTTAGTAAGCATTTTTTAGTTAGGGTTTCTTAGTGTGGACTCTGGACAAAGGTTTCCTAGTAAGGATTCTGTAGTAAGGGCTTCTCACAAAGGGATTCGTGACCCAATTTCTTTTTGTCAGGATGCTTGAGTACAGGTTGCTTCGTAGGCATTCATCATTATGGGTCTAGTAGATGCCGAGTTTGCGTGGGCGCGACATCGCCTGGGAACCTTCGGCGCTTGTAGGCGCCTTAGCCTCGTCGATGGGATCTGGCAATCGAATTCATTCCCACCGGAGGCCGGCCCGGAAGCCGGTGCGATGCGATGCGGTGCCCCCCCCCCTACCCCCCCTTCTCCAGAGGGGACGTCAGAAACCCGGCGTACCTCCTGGGGGGAGCGACGGGGACGCTCGCCCCATTGGGAAGGGGCTCAGAAAGTTGGCGTTCCCTTGTTGTTGTTGTTGTTGTCGATTGTTTTGATTTCCAATGGCTTGATGGCATGAAAAGAACAAAGGTGACGGATCAGGAGGGGTCTTGCTTCCCCCGAGGAGGAAGAAAACACCATTACATTGCGTCGTTGTTGTAAGGTCACGCGCAGTGTCTGGGACCTTGCGGCCGCATGGCAGAAAGGTCCCCTTCTGCCATGTGGCCGCCAGGGTGGATGCCCCTTTCTCGATCCTCCTCCTGCTCCTGCTCCTCCTGCTCCTCCTCCTCCTCCTCCTCCTCCTCCTCTCCCTCCGCCTCCTCTCCCTCCGCCTCCTCCTCCTCCTCCTCCTCCGCCTCCTCCTCCTCCTCGTCATCATCAGAGTCCCCAGAGGGAGCATAACCCAAGAAAGCCCTTGGATTATCCAACAACCAATAACATCAATAACAGCAATGCTTCACACGGATTCGCCTGGCTGTCTGTATTCTCACAGAACATTGCATGCGTTGCTTTTGTTTGCTTTGATTGTTTCTCCCCCAATGCCTCATGGCATAGAGAAAGAAAATGAGGTGGAACAGGAGGAGTTTTGCTTCCCCCGAGGAGGAAGAAGAGGAGGAAGAGGAGTGGAGAAAAATAATGGAGCAACGAACGCGGTTCCTTTTCAAGCCCTTTGAAGGCCGAGCGCGCCCCACCCACATCCAGTCTGAAGCTGATCGAACTCCCTCCCGTGACTCCAGATCCGCCATACTTTGGGCGATGTCGCTCGCCGAGCGGACATTCCCACCCACTTTTGAAGCTCCTCTGATGTCGATTTCCGCCCTCCCTTTGCCGCCGCTGCTTCCGCCATGCATTGGCGGAGATGTCCGCCCTATGTTTCCGAGGTGGATTGTTTCGCCTTATTTTTTCGCACCGTGCCCCCAAGAGGCCTCAAAACAGTCTCCCAGAAGCCCCCGAGAGACCAACCACGATTATACATATTTCTTCGTCGGACGTCTTCCCCGTCGTCTAATCAAGCCCACAACAGGCCACTCCTTCCTTGTCCCTGCCGCTCTCACCAATCATCCCCACCTCCATTTTCAGGTCGGGGTTCGTGGCAATATCAGGTTTTTTCGCACCGTTTGGGGTGAACCTCCGACGCAGTTTGGAGCGGGCAGCTCAAACCAGAACACGGCGGATCCGGAGCCTCCGCGGGCGGGGGCACGAGGGCGAGGCGGAGCTTCGCCAGCAACTCACAGGGCCCTCGGATGCTAGCGGGCGCCAGCGTCTGGTAGTGGACGAGAAGGCGCCGATGTGGCGTCGACTTAGCGCCGCTGAGCGTCGCTTCAGCGTGGGCTAGGTCGACTGGCGTCGATCTCGTCGACGGGCGTGCGTCGGTTCAGCGTCGATTGATTCGCGTCGGCGAGCGTCGACTCGCGGGATCCGGCAAGATGGCACGGGAGGCTCCCATGAGTTGCCACCGAACGGAGGAGGGGAGCAGTCCCGCGAGGCGGGTGGCGCACGCGCAGCCCCTCGCGACGAGCGTCGCCTCGCGCCGACAGTCTGGGGGTGGCGGTGGGCGGGGTCTCGGCGATGTGGCCCTCACGGGCGCGAGGAGGAGGGCGCGGCTCGAGCGGCGGGGGCGGCACGGCGGAGGAGGGAGGCACTTCGGTCAGGCGACCGCAGACATGGACCCAGGGGGCGTGGTTTAGCGACGGGTCCCGTTTCCATGGGAGACCGCGGACCTCTGCCGCCGAACGAGGCGGCACCAGCCGCATTTTGGGGGGGGACCTCCCCCGATCCATGTTTGCGCGCCCCCGATTCGGCGAGGCGACGTCGGCGTGTAGAGCGTCGGGCTTCGCACCCGAGCCGCATCGCCGATGCATCGCCGATGCGGCGCGATCCTCCGACCCCATCCGCTCGGACCCCCTCTGGGAGGCCTCCGGGCACGGCGGTCGAGGGGAGCACTCCCGCGAGGCGGGTGGCGCACGCGCAGCCGCTCGCGCCTCGCGGCGCCTCGCGGCGCCTCGCGCCGACAGCCCGGTGGGGGGGGGGCGGCGGGCGGGGTCTCGGCGAGGCAGACTGCCGCGCCTGTCCGCGGCGGGGCTGCCTGGAACGCAGGGGCGTCGTCGGAGGGGCCACGGGCGGCGTGTTGCTCCCTGCCCTTGCGGAGGGGTTCCCGGTCAGTGTTTCCCCTGGGGGGGTGTCTGGGGTCTGGGGGGGGCCCCAGGCCATGGCCCCGGCCACGGGCGGAACGCCGGCGGAAGCCGGCCGCCGTCGGCCCCAGTTCGGCAGACGCGCTTCTGGGGCACACGATGGTGCGCAAGATGGTCCAAGGGGGCCACGAGTCGCCGAAAGATCGGTCCAAGTCCAAGACGCCCAAGATGGCTTCAAGGTGGATGTTCCAGGAAGCCTCCAAGAGGCCTCCGGGAGGCCTCCAAGAGGCCCCCAAAGAGAGCTCCAAGGGTCAAAATTCATGTGTTTCCCTCCCGTGTTTGAAGGTTTGTCGCGTTTTCGCCTTATCGGCTTCCCGACGCTCCAAGACGGCCCAAGAGGCCCCAAAGATCGCCCCCAAACGGCCCCCAACCGTTGCCATTGGTGGCTTAAGCACAGAAGCGTGCATCAGGTTGAGGTGTGCCAGTGTGGCCGGTCTTGCAGATCCGAGCTCTGCAGGATCTGCCCTGCTGCAGATGATAATGAGCCAAGGCTGCTAATCAATGGGCCAAATTGGCAAGTACACGCACAAAGCGTTTGCCGGGATTGTGGTGATTCTATCGCTTGCATACGTCGTGATGGTTGTGGTCGAAGGTGGGAGGGGTGTATACAAGGAGTGTGTTTTGGTCGAGAGCCACGAGACGAACACTCGTCATCTGAGCAAGGAGGACTTTGCGCAGTACTCTTTTGGCAACTCGATCATCACCCTCGCCGCTTTCTTACCGACAGCGCCTGTGGCCGCCTGCATGCTCGCATTCGCTGCAACGCCTTACCTGCGTCGAGTGTCCGAGTACGCCTTGGTTTTATGGACGAGCAAGTGGATGCATGTGGTCTCCAACCTGCTGGAGTGCTCCGGCTGGTCTTACTGGATTGTGATGGTGCCTGCCTACCTCTTCGCGCTGCTGTACATAACCTCCTTCGTCATGTTCCTCCTGCTTCTACTGCGCCAAGTCAGAGCCCTGGAGGACAGCTCCTACTTGGACCTTGGCTCGTCGCGCCTGCGTTCGTCTCTGAGGCGCCTGTCGGCGAGCTTTACCTTCACCGCGCTGGTGGCCATGTCCTGGAATTCGGGCCTCTGGGGCGACCAGGGCGAGCATCCGATGAGAGTGGTCACCTCGATGCTCTCCTGGGCGCGCCTCGCTCAGATGATCCACGTCTCGCTGCTTCCGATCCAGGCGATCGGACGAGTGCAGAGGCTGGCTTCCGGCGCGCTGCTGTCGGAGAGCGCCAGGGCGCTCGAGGAAGCCAGGCAGGCTCCGAGATTTCTCAGGCTCCAGCAGCTCGGTGTCGCCGCCGGCCTGGCCACCTCCCTCGTGTGGGTCGCCCTGTTTATCTGGTCCTACCGGGCCCTCTGGCCGCTGCCCGACGCGAGCGAGGAGGCGAAGACGCCGCTGCTCGTGCTCGCCGTGTCGCAGCTGCCTGGGATGGTAGACACGATCTTCAACTCGCTGGCGAGCCTTGCAATCAGCGGAGCGTTCTTCGGCGCCCTGAGCGGTGGGAGGGCGCTGCTCAAAGGCGAGGCAGCGCGCTTGGAGAAGTGGACGAAGGCTGCGAAGGAGTGGTCTTCTCATCCAGATGCCGACTGGCAGGCAAAGGTGGCAGAGATGGCTTGCCGAGGAGTATCTCTGCAAGCCCTGCTCGGTTTCTATCGCCGCCTGGGCAAAGATCTGATGCCTGGCTTCGACCCCTCGCGCCACACCACGCATGACGTGGTGTTCCGAGCGATCATCCCTGAATCGAGCCATCATCGGAAGTCCATGGCGCAGGTCATGATGGAGGACAAGCGTGTAGAACCCGAGATTATGGTGACCCATAATTGGCAGAACTTGTTCTCGGACTTGATTTCTGCAATCGTCGCAGACGCATTGGGCGAAAAGGAATACTGCAGGGTGTCTCACTTGCTTCTCAATGACATCGACACTATCGAGAGCTGGATCGATTATGCTGGCGTCGGTCAGCGCACCTACTGGGTATGCGCCTTTTCCGTCAACCAGCACACATCCACCTGTGAAAGCACCTTTGGGTTGGAGGACTCCGTGACAGGCGAGAAGTATCCCGCTTGCAGATGTGGGCTGCCCAAGGCATTCAACAAGACCCCACCGCTGTCCAGCGAGGGACAAAGCATCGAGTGCGAGATGAACAAGTTCGAGCCCATGGTCCAGACCCTCTCGGCCAGGAGCAGGAACTTCTCGCAGCTTGTTGCGGTGGACAGGCGCTTCGAGGTGTTCAACCGAGCGTGGTGCGTCGCCGAGATTGCGGCATCGAACTCCATGGGAATGGTCCAGAGGTTGCAGCTCCCATCGCGACGGATACTCCAGGAGAACCTGCATGTGCTCTCCCGTCTGGAGATCTGCAGCATGGGGGCCAGCAGGCCCGAGGACAAGGAGGAGATCTTGCGCCACATCTCGGACCACGAGGCCTTCGACAGGAGGCTGAGGGACATGCTGCTGGTCCAGCTGCTGCCCTCGTGGTCCACGCTGGACTCGCGGGACCACATGTTTTTGGCAGGCAGGGTTGCTCGCTGGCAGGTCGCTGCCTGCAGGCTATCCAGCAGGGTGTGGGATCCGGATCTCGAGGGCACGCCGGGCCACCCGATCGATCTGTGAGGATCCTGGGGCCCCGTGCCGTGTGGTGCGGTAGCTGTCGCTCGCCTCCTCAGGGGTGACGCCGCTGTGCCTTGTGCGCGCGATGACGTGGTCTTCCAGGCACGCCCCAAGAGAGCCCCCAGAGCGGAGGCAGGGGCCGATTTTTCGGGTTCTTCGCCCCAGTGACCCCTCCAGAAGCCCCCAGAGACGCCCAACATGGCGTCCCGACGTCCAGCGAGCCCAAAAGACGCCCCGAGAGGCCCCCAAAAGGCTTTCCAGGAGAGCCCGAAACGTAACAAATCTTTAGTTTTCCTTAGGCTTTTGAAGGGTTTATTGGTTTTCGCCTATTCGGCTTCCCGCCGCTCCACGACGGCCCGAGATGCCCCAAATAACGCCCCAAGACAGCCTCAGAGACCCCCAACAGAGAGCTCAGACGGCTCAAGACGTCCTCAAGACGACCCAAGAGGCCTCCAAGACGGCCTCACAAGTGTTCCACGCACGTCCCAAGAGAGCCCCCGGAGCGGAGGCAGGGGTCGATTTTTCGGGTTCTCTGCCCCAGTGACCCCTCCAGAAGCCCACAGAGACGCCCAATATGGCGTCCCGATGCCCCAGGGAATTCAAAAGACGCCCTGAGAGGCCCCCAAGACGCTTTCCAGGAGAGCCCGAAACATAACAAATCATCGGTTGTCCTTAGGTTTTTGGGAGTTTTCGCCTGTTCGGCTTCCCGCCGCTCCACGACGGCCCAAGATGCCCCAAGTAACGCCCCAAGACAGCCTCAGAGACCCCCAACAGAGAGCTCAGACGGCTCAAGACGTCCTCAAGACGACCCAAGAGGCCTCCAAGACGGCCTCACAAGTGTTCCACGCACGTCCCAAGAGAGCCCCCGGAGCGGAGGCAGGGTCGATTTTTCGGGTTCTCCGCCCCAGTGACCCCTCCAGAAGCCCACAGAGACGCCCAATATGGCGTCCCGATGCCCCAGGAAATTCAAAAGACGCCCTGAGAGGCCCCCAAGACGCTTTCCAGGAGAGCCCAAAACATAACAAATCATCGGTTGTCCTTAGGTTTTTGAGAGTTTTCGCCTGTTCGGCTTCCCGCCGCTCCAAGACGGCCCAAGAGGTCCCAAAGAACGCCCCAAGACAGCCTCAGAGACCCTCAAGAGAGCGCTCAGACGGCCCAAGACGTCCTCAAGACGGCCCAAGAGGCCTCCAAGACAGCTTCACAAGCGCCACAGGCACGCCCCAAGAGAGCCCAAGAGAGCCCCTGGAGCGGAGGCAGGGGCCGATTTTTCGGGTTCTCTGCCCCAGTGGCCCCTCCTGAGGCCCCAAGAGGTTCCCAAAAAGCCCCCAAGAGGCCCCAATCACCCCTGCAGAGGCCCCAAGAGGCCCCCAAGAACCCTCCAGAGGCTTCCAGCAAGCCTCCAGAAGCGCCCAAGATGGGCCGAGCACTGCCCCAAGAGAGCCCCAGGACGGCTGGAGGCGCCTCGACAAAGCCTCACAGCGTGAAACTGACAACACGGGAACCTGATGAGACCCCAAGTGACGCCCAAGAAGACCCCAAGATACCTCAAGGCCTCAAGCCGCCTCCAGAAAGCCCCGACAAGCCCCCAAGAGAGCCCCAGGACTGCCCCAAGACTTCAGGACTGCTGGAGGCGCCTCGACAAAGCGTCAGAGCGACAAACGGACAGCCCCGGGACTCCCTCAGGAGGGCCCCAGGACGGCTGAAGGACCTGAGGAGGCCCTGAGAGGCCCCCAAGACGACCCCAACAAGCCTCAAGACCTCACCACGCCTCCAGGAAGCCCCCAGAAGCGCCCAAGAGGGCCCCAGGACTGCCCCACGACTCCAGGACTGCTGGAAGTGCCTCGACAAAGCCTCACAGCGGCACACTAGCTCGTATGGAAATTTCCTGAGCTCACCTTACGCCTTACGAGGTCTTCAGCAAGTCCCCAGAAGCGCCCAACAGGGCATCAGGACAGCCCAAGAGAGCCGCACGACGGCTGGAGTCGCCTCGACAAAGCATCACGGCGTCAAACGGACAACACGGGAACCAATGTAATGCGCGTTAAGCAGCACAGCGTCAGTCGGACCACACGGGAACCAATGTAATGCGCACCCTGGCCTTCCTCTTATGGGCTCGCATGGAAACGAGCTGAGCTCACCCCGTGGCTCGCATGGTCGCGTTCTGAGCTCACCTCCAAGACGCACTGTTGTTTATCTGGCCGCCTTTCCCTTTGGACAGAAAGCCCTACAAGAAGCCTCCACGAGGCTTCAATACGGCCGCATGCGGCCCCCGACCGCCGCAAGTTGTTCAATACAGTCCTCATATAGTCAGACACGTCCCCGACACAACCTCCAACCAAACCCGACGGCCCCCAGGAGCCCCCAGATCCTCCAAACTCAATCTTCTCGCCCGTCATATGCAACCGCGCCCCCTCCCTTCCCTGTGGCTCGCATGAGCTCACCTCGTAACTCGCCTAGTCGCGCACTTCCAAGACGCATCGTCGTTTTCTTGGCCATCTTTTCTTCAGAAGCGTTCCCGACACAACCTCCGACGAAATTCGAGGTTTCGGTTTCTCCGCCCCAATAACCCCTCCAGAGGCCCCCAGAAGCTCCCAAGAAGTTTCCAAGAGGCCCCAATAACCCCTGAAGAGGCCCCAAGAGGCCCCCAAGAATATTCCAGAGGCCTCCATCAAGCCCCCAGAAGCGCCCAAGATGGGCGCAGCACTGCCCCAAGAGAGCCCCAGGACGGCTGGCGGTTCCTCGACAAAGCCTCACAGCGTGAAACTGACAACACGGGAACCTGATAAGACCCCAAGTGACGCCCAAGAAGACCCCAAGAAGCCTCAAGGCCTCAAGATGCCTCCAGGAAGCCCCCAGAAGCTCCCAAGAGGGCCCCAGGACTGCCCCAAGACTTCAGGACTGCTGGAGGCGCCTCGACAAAGCGTCAGAGCGACAAACGGACAGCCCCGGGACTCCCTCAGGAGGGCCCCAGGACGGCTGAAGGACCTGAGGAGGCCCTGAGAGGCCCCCAAGACGACCCCAACAAGCCTCAAGACCTCACCACGCCTCCAGGAAGCCCCCAGAAGCGCCCAAGAGGGCCCCAGGACTGCCCCACGACTCCAGGACTGCTGGAAGTGCCTCGACAAAGCCTCACAGCGGCACACGGACAGCCCCGAGACTTCCTAGCTCGTATGGTAATTTCCTGAGCTCATTTTAGGAGGTCTCCAGCAAGCCCCCAGAAGCGCCCTACAAGGCCTCAGGACAGCCCCAAGAGGGCCCCACAACGGCTGGAGGCGCCTCGACAAAGCGGCACAGCGTCAAACGGACAACATGGGAACCAGCAGAATGCGTCCTATAGGCATCCTCTTCTTCATTGTTCTCTGTCTCGCAATTCACGCCCACGTGTCCTCCAAGGTCGGGGTTCGTGACAATATCAGGTTCCCCGATCTTGCGGAGGGGTTCCCGTTGTGTGTTCCCTTGGGGGGGTCTGGGGGGACCCCCCGGGACATGGCCCCGGCCACGGGCAGAACGCCAGCGGAAGCCAGCGGAAGACGGCTGCAATCAGCCCCATGTCAGCAGACGCGCTTCCTGGCGGCACGGACGGCCCCAAGATGGCCATCAAGATGTTCCAAGAAGGCCACGAGTCACCGAAAGATCGCTCCGCTCTAGGCCGTCCAAGATGGCCTCCAGACGGCCCAGATTGCCCCCAAGACGCCCCGGGAGGCCTCCAAGAGGCCCCCCGAGAAAGCCCCAAGAGTCCAAATTCATGTGTGTTTCCATTGGTGTTTGAAGGTTTTTTTGCGTTTTCGCTTTATCGGCCTCCCGACGCTGCAAAACGGCCCAGGAGGCCCCAAAGATCGCCCCAAAACGGCCCAAGACGGTCGGAGACGCCACGGCAAAGTGGCTCAGCGCCAAGCGGACAGCAGGGCAAACAGCATGATGCGCATTCAAGCACACAGCGTCAAGCGGACAACATCGCATTGCCGTCATCGTGGCGAGAGGTTGCGCTGCGCGCATAGCCCGCCGGCGGGCGAACGCGCGCGGTGCTCGTGCCTCGTGGGCGTCAGCGGCCTTGGACCGCGGACCACGAGGATTTCTAGTTCTCTCCCCTTTCCTCCTCCTCCTCCTCCTCCTCCTCCTCCTCCTCCTCCTCCTCCTCCTCCTCCCCGTCCTCCCCCTGTCCTCGTTTTAAGGCGCGGGCGCGCGCGCGCCTAACGGCGGGGCAAAGTAGCTCACACCCCGCGACCGCGCCCTCGCCTAGTGAGCTTTCGCCGCGCGTTGTGCGCAGCGGTCATGGCCCTCCTCGTCCCCCCTCCTCCCCTCCTTTCCTCCTTCCCCTCCTGCCCGTCCAGCCCCGTCCGATGTGGTGACGGTAACCTGGCCGGCCACTGTTGCGCGCTGCCGCTTTCGTGCTCGAGCCCGATTTCGTTGGACGCGGTCATAGCCCCCATGATGCCCATGAGGGGAAGCGGATCTAAAGCTGAATGACCCTGGGCGGGCAACGTGCGCTTGTGCTCACAGCTGTTCTCGTCAACGAATGATCGCTCCACTCCAGGCCGTCCAAGATGGCCTCCAGACGGCCCAGCTTGCCCCCAAGACGCCCTGGGAGGCCTCCGAGAGGCCCCCCGAGAAAGCCCCAGGAGTCAAAATTCATGTGTGTTTCCCTTTGTGTTTGGAGGTTTTTCGCGTTTTCGCTTTATCGGCCTCCCGACGCTGCAAAACGGCCCAGGAGGCCCCAAAGATCGCCCAAAAGCGGCCCAAGACGGTCGGAGACGCCACGGCAAAGTGGCACAGCGTCAAACGGAAAGCAGGGGAACCACCATAATGCGCATTAAAGCAGCACAGCGTCAAACGGACAACACGGGAATCAGCTTATGCGTCCCATTTCGTTGTTTTTCTCTTCGCGAATCACGCCCACTTGTCCTCCAAGGTCGGGGTTCGTGACAATGTCACGTTCTCACCGGACTTTTTGGCGGAGATGGGCGGCGGGTGCAAAGGAAATGAGCCTGTTGCTGCTGCTGATGATGATGACGATGCTGCTGCTGCTGATGATGATGAAGATGATGATGATGATGGTGATGATGATGGTGGTGATGGTGATGATCGTGATGGTGATGGTGATGGCGATGACGATGATGACGATGCCTCTGATGATGATGATGATGATGATGATGATGATGATTATGATGATGATGACGTTGCTGTTGCTGTTGCTGTTGCTATGATGTGACGGTGATGGTGATTATGAGGGTGACGGTGATGGCGATGTTGCTGATGATGTAGATGTTGATGATGTTGTGATGCTGATGTTGCTGTGGTGATGATGATGTGGTTATGATGTGGTGGTGATGCTGTTGATGATGATGACGATGATGATGATGATGGTGACGGCGATGCTGATGATGAAGATGAGGAGGAGGAGGAGGAGGGTAGTGGTGGTGACGATGATGATGATGATGATGATGATGATGATGATGATGATGATGATGATGATGCTGATTATGATGATGATGATGATGATGATGATGATGATGATGATGATGGTGATGATGATGATGATGATGTTAAAGATCATGATGCTTATGATGATAATGTTGATGAGGGTGATGCTTATGATGAGGAACAGGCGGATGAGGATACGGATCATAACCAGGGTCATGATCAGGATGATGATAATGATGATGAATCTGATGATGATGGTGGTGGTGGTGGTCACGATGACAATGATGTTGATGTGTTGATGATGAGGCTGATGATGATGCTGGTGATGATGATGCTGCTATGATGATGGTGATGCTGAGGATGATGATAATGATGATGATGATGATGATGATGATGATGGTGATGATGATGATGATGATGATGGTGATGAAGGTGATGATGACAAGGATGAGGATGAGGATGATGAGGATGCTGGTGATGATGAGGAGGAGGGGAGGAGATGGAGGAGGAGGAGGAGGAGATGGAGGAGGAGGAGGTGGAAGAGGAGGAGGATGAAGATCGTGATGCTGATGGTGATGATGATGGTGATGGTGGTGGTGATGGTGATGATGCTGCTGATGCTGATGATGGTGATGATGATGATGGTGATGATGATGATGATGATGATGAGAAAGAGAAGGCTGCTGCTGCTGATGATGTTGATGATGGTGATAATGATGATGATATTTAGTTGATTTATGATGCTGCTGATGATGATTTGCTTATGATGATGATGGTGATGATGATAATGGTGATTGTGGTGGTGATGATGATGATGATGATGATGATGATGTGGTAGTGACACTGTGCTGATGATGTGACTGTGATGGTGATGAGGGCGATTAGTATGATGGTGATGGTGATTATGATGACGACAATGGTGATGATAATGATGATGATGAAGCTGATGATGATGAAGAATATGAAGATTAACATTTTGAGGAGAAGGAGGGTGAGAGTAGTGGTGATGATGATGATGATGATGCTTTTGATGATGCTGCTGCTGGTGACGCCGATGATGTTGATGATGGTGATGGTGATGAAGATGAAGATGATGATGATGAGGATGACAATGATGATGGTGCTGATGATGACGATGATGACGATGATGGTGGTGGTGATGGTGATGGTGATGGTGATGGTGATGGTGATGGTGATGATGATGATGATGATGATGATGATGATGATGATGATGATGATGATGATGATGATGATGCCGACACGGATGAGGAGGAGGACGACGAGGAGGAGGAGGACGAGGAGGAGGAGGAGGACGAGGAGGAGGAGCAGGAGGACGAGGAGGAGACTTCCAGCAGGGCTGCGATTCATCAGAATACCCCTGCCCGCATCTTGAGGGTCTTGAAGGCTTCTTCCAGAGGGGCTTCCAGCAATTGGTGGGCCTTATGACGATGTCGCAGGGTGGAGATGCCGCCCGCGTATTGCGCTTCGTAGGTGTCCCGGGCACCACTGCTGACGGCACGCGAGCTTCTCGGTTCTGTTCGCTGATCGTCCCCTCAGCTTTCCTTCTCCTTTCTCATACGATTTCAGAGAAAAAGCATATGATGTCGCCGAAGGGGTGGGTGGGTGGGGGTGGGGGGGGGCAGAGCAGCAGAGGAAGTCTGGTGCGACCGTGTCGCAGCCAATGCTGCTGGGGCGGTGGTGGACTCAGCGCTTCACGGGGCGAGAGAGGCCGGCGGTGCGCGGCGAGGTGGTGCGCCGGGCAGCCTCGGCGCCCCTGCTTGGTGTGCAGGATGTTGCGTGTGTGTGTGTGTGTGTGTGTGAGAGGTCGTCTCCCAAGCTGATTCGTGGCGCCATTAATTTTATTCGCACTTTGCCTCTGCGTGCTCTGGCGTATTGTGTGCGCGCGCCGCGCCATAGCTATTCGGGCCCATGCTTGACGGAGGGCGCTTAGTGCCCCCGAAGCGCGCCGCACTCACTTGAAGGCGTCTTGAATTGCGCACCGCAAACGAATGCCTGGTGTGCAGGATGCTTTTTTTGTGACTTAGTCTCCCAAGGGACTGGGGGTTCTCAGGGGCTCTTCGGTGCCGATGCCCTCCTCGGGGGCATCCCCGCGTAGCTCCTCGTAGCTCCTCGGGAGCTCAGTCGTCGCTCTCAAACTCCGGCTACGCATGCTCTCCCGCATGTCTCGTGTGGGACCTTGCTGCTCCGGGATCCTCCCAGCAGCCCGTGCTGTGCGGCCGAGCCCCACCGCGCCCTGCTTTGTGGGCTTGGACTGGCGCTGAGGCGTGCCACGGTTGGGCCGAGGCGCTGAGGCTTCGACTTGTTGAGGCTCGGCTTGGCATGGTTGGCGCTGAGGCCTGGCGCGGAGGCTCGGCATGGCTGGCGCGGATGCTTGGACTTGCCGTGGGGTGCAAGCTTTGGGGCTGGAGCTGGTCTCGGGGCCCCCAAGCGGTGCGGTGACCACACCGTGTGGTGAGTCCGTGTGATGAGTCAGAGAGGATTCGGGGTGACCGCACGGCTTTCGGTGATCTGGGATCTTGCGGCGTTCTCCGATGATTTCTCGGGCAGCCGGGGCCTCCACTGTCCCCAAACTGTGCGGAGACGGACTGTGCGGTGAGGTCTGTTGGGATTTCGAGGTCACCGCACAGTCTGTCGCCGCACAGGTTGGGACCTCCCGTGGCCGGGGACCTGCGACTCATGAAGCGCATGCCCGAATGTGTCTCCACAGGGGCGACCGTGTGCGGTGCTGAAGGCTTGCCTGCGTGGCCCGTGGCGCGAGCTTAGCCCTGGGAGGCTGACGCCAGGCACCGAGGAGTACGATCGCGAACTTTTGAATAGCGTGTCGCGCCGCCAGTTCTGGCCCGTCACGCTTTGGAGCGATACGCTATCAACGTCGCGGTCCCGAGGCGTCTACGTGCCGAGCCTTCCCGAGCCTCCTGCCAAGCGGAGCGGAGCGACGCGCTATCCACTCGCAAGAGATAGCGTGTCGCCGGGGCCGCCGTGGCGACACGCTATCCAAAAGCTCCTGCGACCGCGGTGCCCCTGCGTGCGGTCGGGATTCCCTCCCGGCTCCGAGCCCCGTGAGCAGACTGATTCCGCTGTCGAGCCTGCTTGCCAGCTGCGGTGGCACCTGGCCGGAGGCAAGGCCCCTCCCTGGACAGACGGCATCGGTTCCGGTGTCCCATACCGCCCCGCCTGGGCCCCCATGGCTCAGCCTACAGTCGGGGCGCTGAAGAAGGAACCCTTTTCGTTGGGGAGGGGCTCGGTGTTCCTTGAATGTTTCACAGTTTGCCTCGGGTTTTCCTGAGGTTCTCCATGGGAAATCGAGGTTGAACTTATGGGAAACAGGGGCCTCGTTCCTTATTTGGAGGGTTTCTAAGGTCAACGCCCCGACGGTAGTCCACCCGTCCAGAGGGCAGGTCACTCCCCAGGCGGACGTCACCGGCCCCGTGCCCCCAGAACGCCTCGCCGGGGGCCCCGTAGCTCAGCCGAGCCAGTGGCCCGAAGGCAGGGCCGACAGAGGGCGCTTTCTGGCAGGCCCAGAGGTTGGCACCAACACCAAAATTGGCGGCGTGCCTCAACCGAGGAGAGATGATCCCGATCTCGATGATGGTGGTAATACTCTGGCTTCCTAGGCGGCCGAAATATTGCCACCAACACCGAAATCTATGATCCTCCTCCCCCGGTGGGCGCGCCCCCCTGTTTTCATGGTGCCAATTTCGAGGCCTCCAACTTTGGGGCGAAGTTCTGCGTCTCCGGGGCTGGAGGATGACAGTCTGAAGGGTTGCGCTCTCGGGCGCTGCGATGCCAGGCTCTCCCGAGAGAGTCGGCCGCTCGTGGCGGAGCCTTGAGGCTTTGAGGATGTAGTGTGCTTGTTCTTCACGTCTCCTAAGGTATTGGCTCAACGGCGATCAACGTCTCCCTGTGCATCGCGACCAGTGGGTGCCAGCGCCAGCCATGCAGTGTGGGGAGCGCGCGGCTCTTTGTCACAGATCCCCCCGTCGTGCACATTCAACCCATTCGTCCCACATGTCCATCAAACTACAGCCAATACGCTGAAATAAGGACCAATTTGGGCTCGAGAGGGGCTCGGGTTTTCGGCTCGATCCCTAAGCCTAAGCTCGGAGACCTGTTCGTAACCGAGGCTCGCC